CCACAAGGCGATAGGGAGCACGGGGACGCTGGGATGGCCCGGGCGAGAAGTGCAAAACAGCGTTGTTGGCCTTTATATAAGTACGCAAATATGTAAATACACACAAAAAAATAAATACACAAACATATATTTTTCCTCTTTGTGCTTTGAGGAATGCTTTTGGCCGTGCTTAATGCCATCTTTCAATAAGCGGGTTGCCCCTGCTGAGGTTTCGCCTGGCAACGCCGGCAGAGAAACACCTCCAAACAGGAAGGGCTGCTGGCAACGGCGGCAGCGCGAGGGGCTGGCGCCCTGCGAGCCCAGACCGCTGCCCGGGTGCTGGGGAGCAGGCCCCGGCGCTGGAAATGGCGGGGGTTAATTGCGGCCCTCGCCACGCGAAGCGGCACGTGAGGTGATGGAGGGTGCCGCTCGGCACGGCTCGCGAGGAGCTCCGCACTGTTTCGTGCCTGTAGTCACCAAAATATCCTGTCACGTGAGGCAGCTCCGTGATCACTTGTAGCATCCACAGCTGGACGAAAGCCAGTGTCTATAAATAGCCCATCAAAAAGAGCTGCAAACTAGACAAAAGTAGAAATGCCTGGGATGGAGGCAGAGTACGTATTGGGTCATGCCTGAGGGTCACGTTATCCTGGCACTGGAAGACTATCTCCATCCGGCTCCAACTTTGATTTATGGTATCTAGAGGTTGACATTTGGATTAAATTTAGAAAATTCAGCATTTGGTTAGCACTCACTGTTTTGATTTGGGACATGTTGTTATGTTCTTGAATGTAGATGTAAACATCTAACCCCTTTCTGAATTTCATTTTTTTTCTTTTCCCTTGGCTCCTGACTGAGACAAGTGTCACAGCTCACTTATGTTTGCACAAAAATATTCAGTCACCCATTCTGAACTTGCCACCACCAAGTTCCTCTTCTTGTTCAATGAGACTGGAGAGCAGGTGTTGCCATGCTTAGTTCTTGGCATTATCTGCTGCTCTTTTTGCTTTTATATATATGCATATATATATGTCTTTTGCTCAAAATGTGCCCCTAGGCAGAGGTGAAATCTCCGTGTCCATATCACTTTTTTTTTTTTTTGCTGAGTGGGATGCACAGTACACTGTTCCAGAGGAGCAAATGAATTTCTTTATATAGATGTACTCTAATACTTGGTATTATTCAGGATGTTATTTATTCCACCTGTATTCCAACAGCTTGTTTGTTTTCCGATGAGAGCTTCATGTGGATTAGAGAGATCACTTAGATATTTACATAAATGGCCAGTTTCTGCTTTTCGGTTGATGTAAATAAATTAGAACTTGTCAGATGCAGAAGCAGTGCACATCTTTTCCCCAACGCACATTATTTTGCATGGTCAACACTGAACTCGGCTCGCCGTTGCACGATCCGTGCCATTTTGCCGGGGTTTCCTCGGCCTCACAGTCGCCCCTTGTCTTTCCTAGCTGCGGCAATTATGACAGCTGCGGCTCTGGCGGCTCTCGCAGTACAATGTTCCTCCCAGATCAATAGCAAACACGGCGACAATAGGAGACTTGCTGCTGATCCCTGAAGTCGTCACTGCCCTCCTGCCATCACAGCAACTCGCGGCTGAATCCCGCTCTTTGTTTCCTGTCTCCAGTTTTTGAGGCGCGATAGTGCTTTTCCTCTTGCCCAGTGATTACTTAGCCACTTGACTCATCTCTGGCTTAGGGACTTAATCCAAGGTCTTTTGAAATGCTGTAAAGTGCAGACTAGCCCACCAGTATCTATCTCATTGGTTTGGGGGTGGAGTTTTTTGACAGTTTCAAAGAATCCTAGTGGGTAGATCACTGGAAATTGTTTTGCAGAAAGCCTGGTCAGGCCTAATTTCACATGTAGAGATTTCCTCCTCTACACTCGCTTTTTATTTATGTTTACTTTCAGTGACTCTTTCAAGCAAAGAATACGCGCTCTAAGCACTGTGGCAATTGAGGGCATTTCTGTGGCCTCCTGTTGGACACATCAATGGGGCGTCGATATGTCAGACACAGGCTTTAACATCAGTGCAGGTTAATTAGTGCTCTCTTTCACGGCAGGATCCTGGTCCTCCCAACAAACACGCTGCGTGAACAACATCCGTTCACCCTGGGGGCTCCGGTCAGCCCTTCCCTTGGGGCATCCAGACCTGGAGCAGAGGCCAGAGCAGCCCCAGATGGAGGCACCCTCTAGGCAGTGTCCGTAAGGGTAGCACGTTCTTGCTTACGTAAGGACATCCTGTTCTCCTAGCATGGCATTCTGCACGGCCACAACACGGCTGAGGTTGATTAACTCTTGAATCCCGTGTTAGCCTCTCTTCATGCTTTCATTAAGGGTGACTAAGTGGGCTACAGCCATCTGCGTGAGTGATGCCAGTAGCGTTCTGGCTGTCATCGGGAAGCAGAGGCAGGATCCTCCTCGAATCTATTGCTGTCATCTCTCTTGTCTCTCCTGCAAGGCTGATCCTCATGGCAGTTATGTATGAATTTAGCATGGACTACATATGAATTTAGCATAGCTGCTACACAGACAAATTTCCAGCCACTTTCTCTCTGAGATGTAATATCTTTTGTAGTGATGGTAACTGTTGCTCTTTGTTCAGTATTCCTTCTGCTTAAGTGCAGTGCATTCTTTCTTTGCAACTGCTTCAGGAATAATTTTTTTTGATTCAAGAAGCTGCTTCGAAATCAGCAGTATGATGTTTATCTTGGTACCTACCATGCTGAATTGCTGTCCTAATGAGGAAAGAAAGCCACTAACAAGTATGCCCTGATATTTCAACAGTGTCAAGGAGAGATCTCCTTAAACCACTTGGAGGATTTTTGCTGAACCCTTTTCCATTTTGGACTATTTTTTTCCGGTTAATTTCATTGCTCATACTTAGTATGGGTTTGATGAACTCGCAAATGAAGGGTTGCAAAAATGAATCACGTATGAATTATAGGCCATCATCAGCTATTAACTTTGTTAAATCAAATGGTAATCAAGTTGCAATCTACAGCATTACTATATTGCTGCTCACACATAACACAGTGCTGCTGTTTTTACAAAACTGAGCAATCCGCTAATGAAAATAATTTTGCTATATGAGTCAAATACACCTGCACCTATCCTAGACCAGGAGCACTTAGGAATCTCTCTTGGCTGTCAATGGTTCATTTATGGTTTATTCACTTAATTAGTTTTGATACTAAAAAAAATCATGTATACACGTCAGGAACAGGCTTGCTTTATGTATTCTCTTCTTACCTTCCCAGTATCTCCATGAACAGAGTGCTGTATTGGGATTCCAAGTTTTTTGGAAGTTTTGTCTAGCCTTTGTACAAAATCTCTCCCTATTTAATCTCTGAAATTCAATTTCTTATCCTTGAAGCTCTCTCTGCTCTTCTGATGGCCAGCTGCATGAGCTTATTGTTGTAAAGTCAGATTATTTACAGTTTGGAATTTAGCCTGAAAAGCTTCATTTTATTAATGAGTTTAATATTGACTCATAGTTATGTCATGTTTTTCTTGAAAAATCTTGGTATTTGTAGCACTTTACCATATCCACTTTCACACTGAAGAACAAGTACTTTTGATCATTTTTTGGTGCGTAGGGCAATTTTTGCCCAGTAATAAAAGACAGTTAGAGGAGAAATGAAAATCTGTTCACTGGGATAGATCATAAAAAGAAGATTTTGTGTTGCCTGGGCTTCTGAACAAGCATCATATTCTAACTAAAATGTCAGCATGAGCACAGAAATAAAATGCCCTCCAAGCTGAATAAAACATGTTTTATTCACAAGGCAAATTTGTGCGGGAGCAGGCTAGAAAATATGATGAGACACGTTGGTTTATTCCTTTTGTGAAATGAGATATCGAACTATAGCACGCCATTAGAGAAGTTATTAGCTGGTCAGGATCCGCTCCTGAGTCATCATGAGTTTCTACTGAGGGTGCACGCAAGTGGGCATATTTTAGATGTTGAAATAGAAGAAAAACTGTTAGAGGTTGAGTGGGAGAAAATTACACTGGCCAAACTCCCTACAGCAAAAGAGTTTCCTCGGCCAGAGTAGCCTGGACTAAAAAGTGCTTCTGTGGTAAATAACCAAATTAAAAAAAAAGGAACGGAGTAAGAAAAGAGGTAATCGTGCAGCCTGCTTAAACTAATGCACCAAAACACTCTTACACCCTCATGCTGCTTTTCGTCTGCTAGAAAACCTCTTGCCCTCACTCGGTGCATCTGCATTTTGACTCCTACGAGACGCTGGCCAAGTTCCAGAATTCTTCCGACTGGCAAGGAGCAGGTGGGTCCCAAAACTGCCACGTTTGGGAACTTTTGCATTACAGGGCCCAGCAGGACATGCCCTAAGTGAGGATGAGGATGGAAATGCCCAAGCTACTCGCCTTTGATAAACATGTTAAAGCTCCCGTCCCAAGTTAGAGAGTGTTTTGTTCGCAGC